ACAATACTCCACTCAATATTAATTAAAATAAAAAACTAGTAATTTCATAATTAATCAATAACAAGAATCGCTATTTAACAATATCATAGTATTGACAAGTTCTTTTCCATTGGAAAGAAACAAAAAATCGGATAAGTTTTGGTTATATTTTTTTCAAATCTTCACTCAAAGTAAAGTATATAATTTACTGTGACAAAATCAACGGGAGACGATCTCGAATAGATCGCAGTCATTTGTAATGCTTTGACAGCCTCCGCTCTCTAGTGATTTATTCTCGTCAATTCCGAACCGAAACTCCACCTTATCGAGCATATTTTTTCTGGCAATCGGCGACGACGTTTTTCAGCGATTTGAAAATATTCCTGGCGGCGTAAGAAATATCCTTTAAGGCCCTTTATAAAGTACACCTTCACTTTTCTACGACCTTTTGTTTTCATTCTTTGATTAGTCCTACTCGACGTATAGCATTTTAATATATTATACAGGGTGGCCCAGGGTTAAACCGTCAAACGCCTAAAATAGTTTTTTCAGGTAAAAAGAAGACTTTTTTTACTATAGACATATGGCCTAACTTGTCCTAATGGTTTTTTATTAATCATTCAATTTTTTTTTTTTAATTTGATTAAGCTTGAAAACCTAATTTGCAGTAATAAACGAATTCTTTTAACGGAATTACAATAAAAGTGTTGGCACTACAGAGGGTAATCTAATTGATATTTATAGGAAAATTATGCTACTGTTTGTTTGTATCTTTAATATTTTTGTACATATTTATATTTTATATTTTTCAGGTAAAACTATTTAAAATACACATTTTTGCCATTTCTAGTTCTTTCGCAACATTTCCAAAAAAAATTAAAACGGTTTTCGTACATGTTCTTAGACCACTTAAATCACTAATGAAACATTCAAGGAAAAGCAATGCTAATATTTAAAAAATGTGAAACCCTCTGGGTCCCTCGTCAATAAAAATGTCAAATTTTATCAAAATCAGAGAAACAGTTTTTGAATAATTAATAAACAAAATGATTTTTTACAAAAACTTTGACACCCTGTATCTCGAAAACAAATCCAGATATATTTATGGGAAAAGTCTTATTTTTACCTGAAAAACTGATCTTAGACGTTTGGAAGTTTATCCCTGGTCCACTGCGTATATTATAGATACCAATACTATGTTTCCTAATTCCATTACAGCAAATTCTAGCAAAACATGTATGAAAACCTCAAAAAGTATGTAAATTGTAAATTTTATTGTATTAAAAACAATATTAATTACTTAAATTATTGGTAAAAAGTTCATAAACTTAGAATATTGTGTGCTGAAGGCATCGCAATCAACAAAATATAATTATCGAGAAGATCAGCAATACGGGAATGACAGTGGCACTTTATGTAGAGAAGAAACGAAGCAAACAAATTGTTCAAAAGAAGATGCTTGCATGAGCCATTGGGCTGGTGGACTGGACGTAAAAATGTCCCCATTTTTTGCCCAGCTCGCTGAAAACAAAAAAAAACGTGCAAGCCACACCAAAAAATAATTTCTAGCAAAAAAAAACGGTATTGATGATTTTTGATTTACGCCACAACGAAACGGCCTTTTTGCGTATAAATCTCGGGATGTACGTGCGGTTTTTACCGTAAGAGCAACTCAATTTATATTTCAATTATTTTCGGCGATGACAGATTTTTCGAATATTTTCATTCGATCGCTATTCATTCGTACTTTGTTTAACAGTCGTCGGCCAGCACCCAATATATGTCAACAAATCCCGTTCGATATATTGCACATGTCATAACATTCATCAAACAAAAAAATGTTTTTATTTGCTGGACGGCTTTCTATTGAAAATAACAATTTTCCGCGTCCGTTTTTTGCACATATGCATGCGTGTGAAGTCGCAATAATAGTGTAAAAATCAAAATGCTTGTTTAACAGCCCGCAAATTGTTTGGTTTTAAATCAAATTACCTTTTTGTGTCGGTCGGCGCGGACTGTTGAATGTGGGTATGATGCTCAACGAAAAAGTGTGTCAATTTAACACAATAAAAGTACACTAGAGTACACAGTAGAGAAGGGATTAAAACGCATTTCAATCCAGCGCAAAAGTTAAAATGTAGTAAGCTAAGGGAAGGAAGACAATAATTTTTGGTGATAAATAAGGTTATTCAAAACGCGCTCAAAAGTGACAATTTTTCTTCTTTAATTTAGATTATATAGATTGTATCACTGTTACAATAATAATACGAATTGGCATTTTCCGTTAAAACTGCGTACATATTATTTTAAAGGGGATAAAAATTTTTGATTACTAGCCCTGCGCCATAATAATAAACTATGACTACTATTAATGATTTCATATCATTGAAGATAATTTGGACAAAAATGCTTTGCGAGTGTGCTGAATAACTTGTTCTATCAATTAAGGCTTCTTAACTTTATCATTACAGGTATATTGATCAAACAGTTGGAAACAAACCTCTTTTGTGTAAAGTAAAAACATTTTACTAAAACCAACCTAAACAAATTTGATTAGCGTGGCGGTGAAACTAGACTGAGGTACATTTACTTACCCATCTATTTGAAGGCCCCGACAGAGCTGCGGTGCATGTTATTCTATGTTAGTTAAACAGAAGGTATTAGGTATGGGAAACAGTTAAGTTGGAAACTTGCTAAATGAATTTGTCTGGGTTGTGCCTTCCTCTAATAATCTATTTTCAATAGATTCTGGATACACTGCAATTTTAAAATGGCGATTTTGTAACAGACGGACGCAGTCTAAATTGATTCTACTGTAAAAAAGATCTGATTGATCAAAAATACTTCGACTTCAAAGAATTATCGTTGAATATAGTTTTCAGGTTTTTACATATAGCTATTAGATATTAAGGGCTACGGTGAAAATTGATGTTGTTAAATTTTCATAGAGATAGGAATAATCCTTCGCGCATGTGTTCAAATTTCAACCACTGAATTTCAGTTTGGCTCACTTTTTTTTGTAAAGAAAAACATTTAACGAGATCAGGGTTTATTTTGAGATTATGCTGCATGTTGGTTGTTGAATGCCGCAAGGTCATTGGTTAAAAGCGAGAACCTAGATCTCGCGCATGCGGATGTTTTTTTTTTCTTCACGAGTTCCTGTATTGTCAGCATTAGGCACTGCCTCCTACATCTCTATATCGGTCTTTATCTATTCGCTAATTAAGAATCAGACATTTAATTTTTTTTTTCTTAAAATTAATATATTTTATAATATTTTGTATGAACCTCATTTAAGCTATGCTTACATACGTACAAGAGGAACATCTTGATGTGAATCTAAATCGTCGAACAATCTGTGAATTTGCTAACGGCCTTTTTTCCTGAACTGTTAATTTTTCACCATATGCATTAACCAGATCGTGGCTGACTATGGAATATTTTTTCTACAAACATAAAGTGTAAAACTTGTGAATATATTGCTGAATGTTGAAGCTGTAGAGAACTTTAAATTTACATCGTCTTTATTTGACTGAATTATACAAAGTTTCAGACAGATGGATCACCGTCCATTTTTAAGTATAAACTAGACTAATTAGGAAGACTACTCCGCTTGTATCCCATTTTGGGCTGTCCACGGATGAACACCTTAATGAGATTAAGTCAAATAAAAAAATGGAAGTATTTTAAAATAAATAATATGCTTAGTTTAACGAGAGAGGTTAAAAAATAGCATTTCGCAACTAAATACAAAAAAAATTATTAACTAAATGAGAACACCATTCGCCGCTTATATATTTTGGCCACAGGTATTCATGATTGATATATATTAAATTATTAAGCAATTAAGTATATTCGCAATATCGTAATTGGAGTTTATTTTATTATATCTATGTGGCGCACTAAAATATAAATTAACCCGGAGCGTATTAAATTGGTGTCAGGTGTTGGACTAATAACTAATTTGATTAGCCATTAGTCAAGCTCTCTTTTCCTGCACAATGTTTTTCCTTTTTACTCAAATGTCTATAAAATTATTCTCAAATTATTTAGATTAAGAATATTACGATATATCAAATTAGTTTGAAATGTTCAAATTTTAAAAGAACTCGAAAAAAATTGACAACTCTTCGATATGTCATGCCAAAATGTAATTAATAAACGTTTAACTGCAATATTTGTCTAACAAACTCGCAGTATTTGACTATCTTCGTATGATATTTACCGCGACGGATGAGAATCGAAATAATATATAAACAGCATTTAATAACTTCCCATCTTGAAATTATAGCTGCATGTTTCACGTATGGATCACGTTCACTGCATCCGTGTCGGTCTGATGGAATATATTAACCCCGGCAGTTGTATTTGGCATATGTCTCGAGTTTATTTTATGCGTTTTGTTTGTATTGCATCGTTTCAGAACGGGGATAATTTTGGCAAGTTTGTTAAGTACATCTTAGTTTTGGTGGGTAAATATAACCAAGCAACTTCAAAGAAGAAAGACGATTTTGGTATTATTTGGAAAAATTGGAAATAATATTTTATAAAATTAGAAGGCGGCGTATACAGTATACAACTGATTTTACATTCAAGTTTTTTTTCACGGACGTGACACTATTGAAACTGAAACGCCAAATAATCAAATAGAAGTAAACAAACACATTTTTTAATAACAATGAAATAAAAAAATGAGTAAATGCAAAATTATATGCTAGAATTAATTGTTCTGTGGAATGAATTCGGAGGTTAGCTTTTATCGCTGAAAAATGAAAAAAAAATGCCATTTCGTAAAAATGACCGTTTCTCTCAATTTTTTAGATAATATATATTAAATATTATTTCGATTATGTTTTATAACCTAGAACATCCCATTTCAGGGAAACTAAATTAAATTTGACATTTGACAATCATACCACCAGTATATTTTATCAATTTACAGCTATAGTAGTAAATTTTGGCTGTATAGTTAGCGAATTACAGCTCCATGCCAAAAACAACCAGTAACAGCAAAAACTCACCATCAGTGTATATCAGGAGAAAGGTTAATCCGGCAAGAAGACAGCTCATCGTCGTTCCTGTTTCAATTGACCAGACGAGGAACGAACTGGTGCCCAAAAAATTTATTCTTATTCATTACTGTGTGGTACTCGTCCCGCTGATTATACCTGAAATGTACAAGAGCAAAATCAAATTGATTCCAGCAGTGGAATTTATTTTGACGTGTATGGTTATAATATCAGTTAAATGAAAACATAGAAAAAAATGTCAAATTGCCCGTGATAATGAAATTGAATAATTCAAAAAAGTTTAGCTAAACCCAGATGATAATAATTTTATACTATTGGAAATTGATGTTATTTTGTTGTGAACTCAATTGCAATTAAATATTATACATAAAGACCTCTTCGCTGTAAATATGGAAACCAAAGTTTTTGGAACGTCGAATTAAGTTGATTGATCTGACGTAATATTGTCGAGCACTTTTTTTCAAAATCCTCATACATTTTAATAAAGAAATTAACATTTTATGGGTTCAACTAAGGCACGTGGAACAAATCCGGTTGGTCAAAATCATTAATCCGGCCCACTTTGGTCACTTAGTGTCTTCAAATGTCACGGGTCTTATCAATACACACAACAGTAAATCGTAGTAATTAAACCACCAAATTTAGAACGCATACTCGGCCACTAGTTTAGAAATTATAGATAATGGCAGAAGGATTAATATGGTTTTGGTCATTGGAACTTACTGGGATAAACAATACGACCCTGAAGCTGGAAAGTTAAAGACCCCTGGTTTAAGTGAATCCAAAAAAGACGTGAAATAATGGCAACTTTCATAGGGACTTCAAAAGAATTATCAAAACGTTTTTGCGCCGTATAGACCAGGGGTTTTCAAACTTTCCAGCATTAGGGCCATACTGTTTGTTTACTCCAGTAAATCCCAAAGGTTAAAGATATATTAAATTTTTCGGCTATTATCTATAATTTCTCAACTAGTCGCCGAGTATGTCCTCTAACGAAGCATACGATTGCTAAATGCACTGGTTTTATTTAATTAAATAATGGTAAGTGAATTGATGACACTGACATGCGGGATTTCACCCATAAGTCGTGGTTTGGAGATCCTGGTATAGACAATATAACCATGCAAAGCAGCATTTATAGTTCGTGATTAAAGTACATACGTGATTTAGTATAATGTATGCAAAAGTGGTGATCTTTCACTTGACATATAAAACAAATTTGAAGTGCTGTAGTTTAGTTAAATTTTTGATAAATTTCTTCCTAGTGCAATAGTTACACAACAACCTCCCCATTAATTTCGAAAGTATAATTCCATCCATTATTACGCAAAATCGAGCAACAATTAAATATCCGACCATTTTCATGCGCTGAAAATCAATATAACAAATAAAGTTAATTACGCGTCGGTTATTACTCCCTTAATGAGTTTTGATATTGTTAAGTTGACTGATAAACCAACATTTTCGAATGGCTTCTGAGTAATTGTTTACATTAATGAAATATTTCATGCACGATAAACATCGAGCCTATCCCTGAATTTACATAAATATTAATAGGCGGCTACACAGCGCAAATTTCGAAATAATCGAGCTTTCTTTTTTAAGGGAACATTTTCCGAAATTAAGTGCCGCAGCGAAGGTATTTTGGTTAAATTTTGGCCAAACATGGTTATTTCCTTCTTCTCGCACGAGGAAAAATATCAATCAATTGACAAAAAAAGTTTCATTGTTTGCTTCATGCCAAGAATTGTTTCTCATCAAGCGTGAAACATAAAAATTGTAACAAAACCAAAATTAAAATCAGATTAGTCAGCTACTTCAAATTAAATTTTAAAAGAAGATTTTAGGATACCTACTAATATTGACGAATACCTCAGTCTCGAAAAGCATTTAATTAGCTACATTCTGTTCACTAGAGGTAGAAAATACAACCATTCATGGGATTGCCAAATTGGACTCAACAGAAATATTTTCTTTTTAAACTTTGTACGTAAACGTAAATCGTCTACATAGGAAACAACTGAAACAATGTAAGCATTTTTATCTCAGATGGAATATCCAATGTTTTAACTTTGTAAACGGACCATTTACCACCAAAAAAAGGTATATTCTCATATTTTGAGAGATAATCCAAATATTTTGCGTGACAAGGAGAACACTTTTAAACTTTTAATTCTTACCTATTTAGGCTAAATGAGAAATCATATTTTTAATGTTAATCGACATATTGGCCATAATTGTTGAACAACATATTGCTATAATATTTCACAATAAAATTTTTATCAGAGATAAGATCTGTTTCAAACGTGAGATAAAAAATAGATATCAAGGTCTAGACATTTTTTTTATAAAATTTCAAAAGTAAATTCTGAAATTTAGAGTGTTCTTATTTTACTTATTTTCACGATGTCGTTGCCATAAAGGAACTGCATGTTTAGTCTTTAAAACACTAAATACTAATTTAAATAGTGTTTCAAATAGACCACGTTCAGATATCGTTAAAAAATTTATCAAAAAGTAGAGAGATAGGTTCCAATGGGGCTTCCGTCATCACTTCCATTAAATTTATGGGTTCAAAAATAGATTTAAATATACTCTCAATTTTATATTAAAAAGAATTGACAGATATTAATGTTTTAGTTTTCACATGTCTTGTTTAAATTATTTTATGTGAATGTGAATTTTTCCAAATCTAAGTAAATTTTTAACATTTCAACTCAAAAAAAAACGATCCCTTTCAATATTAAAAAAAAAGTAAAAGTTTGCAGTTTTCGAATATTAAAGTTTTTCTAAATTATTACGTACCTACTATTTCACAGCATAATAAATTACTATCATCCACAAATATCTGGACGGCACCTCCACCTCCTTCCCAAAAAGAGGGCGATATTGGATGCAGCTAGTGGAAAGCAACATTCAACGCCAAAGCAAATTAAAATAGTTAAAAACTTCTACGTGGATGAAGAAACCAATCGAAATCCGGAAAGGGTTAAGTTAACACGAGATTTAAAAACTTTCGGGTTTAAAATTTTCCGTACTAAAATGTCGCTCCGGGTCACCGCGGTCGGATACCAAACCAAACCAAAACAAAAAAAAGAAAAACTCAAAAACCCAAGCAATTGGCAGCTACTACGACTGACCTTTGGACCTAGAGCGTGATTGATCAAACTTGCGAAACTACAGGCCAAAATCGCAAAATTGGAAAACGCGCGGGATTTTGCGAGAGTTACGAAGTCGACAAGTTGTTAAGTGAGATACGAACCGACCGGATCGGCGTCCGCACACCATGTGCCGACGCTCGAAACTCGCGGATGTCGACGTCGCGTCCAAACCGATTTTGGCCCACTGCGTTGCCACGGATTCGACAAGCTCTTGTATATTATCACCGCTTGGCACCATTGCAACTCTTGATCCATAACGCGCAATCCACACTTCGTATTAATATTTATTTACATTTTCTTCTATTCCATTCTGTAAAATACCTAATTATACACTGATCTATAGTGCGGAAAATGTCATTTGACCACGTCAGTTTAGTTTTCCACAGATAAGAGGCACTTCGGGCATTTCCGGGATATTACCTGACGCGTTTGGGACCAATCTGATGTTTTCGGATATTTTACCGCACGGCTTCAATTTTGACGTTTGTCAATTCTGACGGTCATTTCAGTGAATATATCCGTGTTGTTTTGCAAAAATGTAAAGTCTGCTCATAGATATAAGAAAGTGACTAACTGATACGAATTAAGGAAAGACCCGGGCAAGCTGTAAGAATGAAATATGGCCGAACAGGTTCGTACTTTGCTTAGAATTTAATTATTTGGAGTTTTGTTAGGAAAGATACTAAACAATATTTATTTACTTATGTATGTATTTATGTTTAAATCTATCATCACTATCGCTATCATGGCCTGTTATTATTAGTTGTGCTATATTGCAAATAATAGCAATATGGATATACGATTGTTCCGCTTTTTCTATATAACAGAATTTGCCCAACTTTGTGGAGGGATGTTAAAAACTTCGGTTTCTATAAGTTTGAGGACATTGGAGTTAACACGGGAAAAAACATTATTACGACGAATGGCAGATTTCAGTTGGTGCCAAACATGTTCAATGGGATTAAATATACTAATAACTTAGGTAATAACCTTGTTGCGTTGTATGTTAATGCCCACCCTTGGATAGTCCCAGTCAAAAGCAATGGGTCTGTGGTTTGTTGAAAATAATGCAAGTCACGATATTTACAGTGAAATGTGAAGGCCGCAGTTTTATAGAAGGCGAAGTATTATTAAAAACAAAACATATAGCTTTCATTGGGTTTACTGCAGAAACCGATAACTTGCAGGACATTTTTACAGTGCCCAGCAAAATTAAATGCTAACCGTTATTTAATATTTCTTGAACGACATCCATCAACACAGCAATTTGCTTTGTGTTTGGATTTGAAACCGCTAAGCTTTTCCTTTAATGATGAACTTTCGGGTGAATCCATAAAGACACTGAATCACCAACTATATCAAACCCACTATTTTCTTATAAAATATCAACATAAAAAATAATACGCAAACATAAACCTCATATGAAAATAATGCACCTTCTCCCAATTTTACTTGCAATCAATAGTAATATTTTTTTCAGCCAGAGGGTTTATTGAATTGTAAAATCTGTAATTAGTAAAAGGACCGGAGTGTAAAAATTGTAAGTAGGATAAAGACACAACAAATATGAGTGTAAAATTTGTTGAATACTTTATTTATGATATAAAATGTTTACTCGTATTGCTTACAATATCATGTAGCGTGAGTAAGGCTGAAGCTGTGTGTGTGTGTGTGAAGTGTGATCAACGACAATCGTTTATTAAACACTCGCTCCGCTGCGCTCCGCTTATCCGAAATAAATTCGTGACTTAAAAAGTTTACCAAACTTATTGCACACTATACTTTTTCTACGACCGTTAGTTTCTGGGTACATTTTTGAAACACATGACCGCCAGGATTAACAAACGTCAAAATTGAAGCCATGCGATAGTATCTCTTCAGAAATCCGATTCCTCCCAAACCCGTAAATGTATTCGTGTTGTTTTGCGAAAATGTACCTTAATACTAACGGTCGTAGAAAAAGTATAGTATGCAACACGTTCGGTAAACTTTTATAGTCACTCGTTTAATAAACACTCGAGTTTATTTATTGTTTCTATGAGAGTGCTGTACGCAATAAAAATAGGAGGCATTGAACAAGGTTCCTCACGCGTAATGAAGACGTTACAGGATGTCTTAACACCTTTGACGTAAATTTTGTAAAACTTTGACGAAGAGCTAGCTAGAGAGAAATTGAGGAGAAACCGTTGAAAATAAGTGGCGCATTTGAAAAAAATTAGTTTTTCAACTTTGAAAATGATGTGATTGGTTAGTAAATTTTGGATACCCCGTAAGCGATAAATTATTTCTCAATATCAATTTGGGAAGGACCGTTCTGGTCCTTCGGTTTACCGTACAGACTTTTAAAATACCGGGTGTTCCAAAATCTATCTAAAGTCCTCCAAATGTGTTTGAATTAGCTCTTCTTTTCTGACCACAAAACAAGTTTAACAAATTTATGTAGACATTTCAAACAAACAAACTTATCAAATTTTAATTATTTAACCTAGCGCCTGACGAAGCATATTTGCTCCAAATATTCGGCGATCATAAATATCCAACATAATAAATGACCACATCGAAAAAGTCGACCACACCACCTCCACATAGTTACTTGGATGACGGTCGAAATATTGCCGACGATTTCCAAAGCGAAGGCAACCAAACGAATGGATATCTGACGGTCTGATAGTTATCGATTCACACATCTCTATTTAACATTTAACATTCATTTTACTGCTACATAGAAGAAATATATATCCATTTGTAATAAAATAGAAAAAAACTTGGATACAGCGAAATACCGATGCTAATGCCCAAACGAGTGTCTTTAAAGATAATGCCGCATTAACCCCCTTATGACATGTATAACCGTGCAACCGGTTATATACTTGAGACACTCATGGATACTCAGTAACTTGTCCTCCTTTATCCGGCATCGCTTTGACCCGACGTTTCTTAAAAAAACATAATTTTTAAAACCTGTTGGAATATACGCCTTATCTTGACAACAAACTAAAATCAACAATAATATTTTATGTTCGTAAAACACATTAGCAGACTAACTTATTCATTATTATATTTGATCAATTGGTGAGGGATTGGGGATACTGGGAGTAAAATAATAATTTATGTAGCCTCAACTATTATCTTGCAAGTGATTTGCATTAATGTGGTCCTAAAATGGTTACCTATATGTCAAGCAGACTGGGAAAATAGTGTTTTTCCTCTGTCACCCGACCGAAACAATAATAAATCCTAAATCATTGGAAATATCATATGTGAGATAAGGACACATTAATCTAATGTTTTTTTTATGCAGTACTCATACTTACACTCATACTTATATAGCATCCATATAACTACAATTCAATAATATACGGAAATCAAAAAATAGGCCACTTCGGTGCTCATTAAAACTCGGAGACACAAAATAAACGCAAATTTTTTGACACCATATTTGTAAACATTGACTGTTACAAGGAATGAGATTTAAGAAAACATTTTCTTTTCAATACTAAACATTAATAATGAAAACAAAGCAAAATTAAGCAGAGTAGTATATTCTGCAATAAGTTCGGTAAACGGTATTTGACTCACGATTTTATTTTGCAAAAGCCGAGCGAGTGCTTAATAAACGAGTGAGTTTACCAAACCTGTTGCATACTATACTTTTATTACAACCGTCACGAAAAGATCACAATTTATAAAATTAAAAATAGTAACAGATCATCGAATTACTAAATTTCGTACCATTGAAACAAAACATTTACTAGTTGCCATTAAATCTATTCGTTTATCCTTCCGATTGGTTCTGCTATTGTTGCCTCTTGTTAACTGTGTACGTTAGACAGAGATGTATTGTTGAGTATGTCATATAAACAACGGGATAAACATAATTTTAAAAAGTAATGTTGGTTATTTATCTTTTACAATTGATCGTTAAAGAGTTTATTTAAAGATAAAGACTGTAATTGGAAGACAAATCATAGAGCTTTCAAGAGGATTAAATTTTTAAGATCGGATATGGAAGAAAAAGCAGATCCTAAACTTCAATTTTGGTTTGTTTGTAATGATGAGACATGGATATTTGAAAATGGTTCAAATGGTCTTGGCAAGATATTAATATGAAAACTGTAAGAACCACTAAAGTTCTTGGAGCCTAGTAGTTAAACAGAAATATATCGCATAACATTTCTGCAAAACAAGTTTTGCATTTGTTTCGAAATTTTAATAGCTCTAATCTGAAAGCAAATGTCCACAATATCGTTCAGATTTAATCAGAATTTAAAATTACATGGATGACAAGAACGTTTTAAAACATGTATATTATCACATATAAGACTAATACGAAAAACGGAATCCTAAAATGGATATCAAAACAGCACGAAATTCCTTGATTAAAATGGAATCACTTCTATGACAAGACTTTTGAAATGTAGCTGTACGCTACCGCGATGTTATCATAAAGACGGAAATTTTAGAACGTATGACTACTGCCACAATGTGGTTGAAGTTAGATTTGCATATGGATTCGGATTTGCAATATTACAGTGGACCAGTTCGTTATTTACCTTAATTGCCTTAAGTATTCCTGTGGAAATGACGGGAAAGTAAACACGGAAATATTGTAAGGGAACTCCCAAAAACCATATCCAATATTGCTATGCAGAAAATAACCAGTTTTCCCTTCGCACCACCCCAAAAAATAAATGAATGTAATTACTATATCGCAATCCCGAAAAAATCTAACGTTGTGACAGAGACTTAACCAGACCATTGAAAAGCTTCTTTGGAAGTATCTGTAAGACATAAAACTAATAATGAAACATCCAAAATATTCGTTATATTTATTTAGCAATCTCAAAAAAATCTGATGTCCCAGATATTAAATTAGTCCATTAAAGGGCCACTTAGGAGAGCTTCAAAAAAATGATGTACTATTCAACCACCTTGAAACCGTCGGGAAGATATAAAACTACCCCCAATAATGAGATGCCCTAAAATTCGTTTTATTTATTTCGGAATCTCAAAAAAACCTGACATCCCAGATATTTAATTAGACCATTGAAGAGCCACTTAGGAGAGCTTGATGTATTACTCAACCACCTTGAAATGGTCGGGAAGATATAAAACTACCCCCAATAACGAAA